GTTCATCCAGCTAAGGCATTTGCTCAGTAAGACAGTGAACTTTCAGCATCTAATCCTCGTAGACGCACCTCACTGAGGTAGCACATCTGCTGTGAACTATCGACAAAACTATTCTTACAGGTCGACTGTAAAGTTCACAATCAAATGAAATAAATTATGATCATGATTTAATCCCTGGAATACAATGCTGAAGCCGTTGCTAATTAGAATTTTGCTTTTCATCTTCGCTCTATTGTGTGAACGAAGTATTGACATCTGATGATTTAGCTATGAATTAAAGTCCCCATGGATTCATCCGTAGATTGTTTTACGCTTCGTTGATTTGCACTCACCAGGTTAATATAATATACCACCATAAATTTACCGATTTTAAAAACTTCAGCCTGCTCAATATTGTTGTCTTGCCTTTCTTGTTTTCCGGTTGCTCAGTGGTGCCAAGGTGAACTGCCCCAACAATAGAGGCAAAACGCCGCTGATGATCGCATGCCAAACGAAAAATGAGCACTTGGTGGAAAGTCTGCTTACCAACGGTGCTGACGCTTCCCTCTTGGACAATCAGCAAAATAGTGCACTTTACTTCGCCATTAAGGCGAGGAATTACGACATAGTTTCGGTACGTGAGAAAAAGCATTATGCAAATCGAGTTGCTTTGTTTCACAACTATCCTTTGCACATTTGGTGTTGTTTGCCTCAACGACAATATAAAGACCTTGATTTTCTGTAAGACAGCCCATGCCAAACATTTGGGGGAACCGATTCATTCCTGTGGAATGTCCTCAAGAGTGGTCATCTTCATCAGCCACCAATGCTGATCCACACAGTCCTAACTTGAAATCTTACAAGAGTGCTGTCAAATTACCCGTTTTCAGGCAAATGCATGACTTGTGGATATTATTCTTGGATGTGACGTAATAAATTGTGAATTCTGTCATTAAATCCTACGGGCCGTTAAAGAGAGGTCGCTCGGAGTGTAAAAATATGAAATCGACCCGTGTTGATGAAGATAGATGACGCACCTTGACGGTTTCACCCCGTGGTCTCTCACTGATTCCTGTGGTAACAGTTTGGCCATTCATTGGCAGTAAGTATCATGTCAAAGGTAGACCATGTCGTTTATAAACCCTTCAAACTTCGATGTAAACCGGGTTGCCGATTTGATTGGTTGTTTACTTGCCCGAAGATTTCCAGCAGGCTATTTTTTAGAACTACAGGCGCATGTTTCGGCGCTGTTGGCGTGAAGAGATCGATAAAACCAAACAACGCTATAAAACTTCCATTGTGTCGCTTATCTTTCGTCCGCCTGTATTAACTTTCCATAGTGATCCGATTATCAGGCACGTCTGAATCAACCGACAAAAACTCCACTGTGGACGCAAGTTGCCAGTCATCTTATTTATTGGTTCATGACAATTTCTATGCCATAGTTCAGGGTCATCAAACATGTTATGAATGGAACTTGTACGAGCGTGTATGAGACTTTTGCGGCTTAAGTCCGTGAGGGCGGCTGCCACTGCTTTTTCTGTTAACTGTGTCCACCAGTTTGTCAGGGGATCCCAGCATGCATCATCGAATCTGCACACTATTTCCAAATCTACAACAATACCTGGATTAGGACCGGCACGAGTGGATGCAATCCGGCGAACCGGCAATTTACGTGTATGTAAATCAAAACACTGGTTCGCGGATAGATTGTCTTCATGAATTCTTCAGTAATAAAGCTGCATACGCTGAATCGCAGGAGTTTATCACACTCGTCAAACTACGTATTCGCATATGGTGTAACCCATTTAGTAGAAGTGAACGTAGCGTATTTCTACATTTGTATCCCATAAGTAACAGGATCAACCCATATCTATATCTTACACTATACATGTTCTTTCGGACAAACGAATGTGACCCTATATGTGTTCCGACAGAAGCGCGCTATACAAACTACACGGCTTTTTAATGATGTTCGGAGAACGAAAGTCCTTACGGCTGATTATGCGTACGTGTATTTCACCTCAGCTTTAATGAGCACATTATCTAGAAGAGCTGATAAAGCCACTTTAAAAACACCTGACCAAGTAAATTTTTATAAATACTCTTCAGTTCATAAACAAACGACTCGTCCACCTTTATCGACCTCAGAATGATGTCTCTGGACCTCTTGTGATCACTCACGAGCGTGTCGCTTCACGAAACCGTTCATTATTGGTGTCGCTATAGTCGACAAAATCACTGTACCCAGATAAATATCAGTAGTGTTAGATCGTGATGTGACACAGTCCTGTCNGTTCATCCAGCTAAGGCATTTGCTCAGTAAGACAGTGAACTTTCAGCATCTAATCCTCGTAGACGCACCTCACTGAGGTAGCACATCTGCTGTGAACTATCGACAAAACTATTCTTACAGGTCGACTGTAAAGTTCACAATCAAATGAAATAAATTATGATCATGATTTAATCCCTGGAATACAATGCTGAAGCCGTTGCTAATTAGAATTTTGCTTTTCATCTTCGCTCTATTGTGTGAACGAAGTATTGACATCTGATGATTTAGCTATGAATTAAAGTCCCCATGGATTCATCCGTAGATTGTTTTACGCTTCGTTGATTTGCACTCACCAGGTTAATATAATATACCACCATAAATTTACCGATTTTAAAAACTTCAGCCTGCTCAATATTGTTGTCTTGCCTTTCTTGTTTTCCGGTTGCTCAGTGGTGCCAAGGTGAACTGCCCCAACAATAGAGGCAAAACGCCGCTGATGATCGCATGCCAAACGAAAAATGAGCACTTGGTGGAAAGTCTGCTTACCAACGGTGCTGACGCTTCCCTCTTGGACAATCAGCAAAATAGTGCACTTTACTTCGCCATTAAGGCGAGGAATTACGACATAGTTTCGGTACGTGAGAAAAAGCATTATGCAAATCGAGTTGCTTTGTTTCACAACTATCCTTTGCACATTTGGTGTTGTTTGCCTCAACGACAATATAAAGACCTTGATTTTCTGTAAGACAGCCCATGCCAAACATTTGGGGGAACCGATTCATTCCTGTGGAATGTCCTCAAGAGTGGTCATCTTCATCAGCCACCAATGCTGATCCACACAGTCCTAACTTGAAATCTTACAAGAGTGCTGTCAAATTACCCGTTTTCAGGCAAATGCATGACTTGTGGATATTATTCTTGAATGTGACGTAATAAATTGTGAATTCTGTCATTAAATCCTACGGGCCGTTAAAGAGAGGTCGCTCGGAGTGTAAAAATATGAAATCGACCCGTGTTGATGAAGATAGATGACGCACCTTGACGGTTTCACCCCGTGGTCTCTCACTGATTCCTGTGGTAACAGTTTGGCCATTCATTGGCAGTAAGTATCATGTCAAAGGTAGACCATGTCGTTTATAAACCCTTCAAACTTCGATGTAAACCGGGTTGCCGATTTGATTGGTTGTTTACTTGCCCGAAGATTTCCAGCAGGCTATTTTTTAGAACTACATGCGCATGTTTCGGCGCTGTTGGCGTGAAGAGATCGATAAAACCAAACAACGCTATAAAACTTCCATTCTGTCGCTTATCTTTCGTCCGCCTGTATTAACTTTCCATAGTGATCCGATTATCAGGCACGTCTGAATCAACCGACAAAAACTCCACTGTGGACGCAAGTTGCCAGTCATCTTATTTATTGGTTCATGACAATTTCTATGCCATAGTTCAGGGTCATCAAACATGTTATGAATGGAACTTGTACGAGCGTGTATGAGACTTTTGCGGCTTAAGTCCGTGAGGGCGGCTGCCACTGCTTTTTCTGTTAACTTTGTCCACAAGTTTGTCAGGGGATCCCAGCATGCATCATCGAATCTGCACACTATTTCCAAATCTACAACAATACCTGGATTAGGACCGGCACGAGTGGATGCAATCCGGCGAACCGGCAATTTACGTGTATGTAAATCAAAACACTGGTTCGCGGATAGATTGTCTTCATGAATTCTTCAGTAATAAAGCTGCATACGCTGAATCGCAGGAGTTTATCACACTCGTCAAACTACGTATTCGCATATGGTGTAACCCATTTAGTAGAAGTGAACGTAGCGTATTTCTACATTTGTATCCCATAAGTAACAGGATCATCTATACCTTACACTATACATTATCTTACACTGTACACTATACATGTTCTTTCGGACAAACGAATGTGACCCTATATGTGTTCCAACAGAAGCGCGCTATGCGCACTACACGGCTTCTTAATGATGTTCGGAGAACGAAAGTCCTTACGGCTGATTATGCGTAAGGTATTTCACCATAAATACTTTTCAGATCATAAACAAACGACTCGTCCACCTTTATCGACCTCAGAATGATGTCTCTGGATCTCTTGTGATCACTCACGAGCGTATCGCTTCACGAAACCGTTCATTATTGGTGTCGCTGTAGTCAACAAAATCACTGTACTCAGATAGATATCGGTAGTGTTAGATCGTGATGTGAGACAGTCCTGTCAGATTTGTGATAGTCAAATAAAGGTCTCACCATTAGCTGTCGTGTACCTCGGACTGCCTGCGCAGGGTCCGATGATTGGGGTAAGCCTAGACTTCAGTGTCAGCGATCGCTCAAGCCTGAAGCTTACCGAGACCACGACGGGATGTATAACAAGAGCAGGCATCCTTACAGCTGTCACGGACTCGACAACTGTGATCAATCCGACCCAATCAGGCGTGCGACTGAACACTAGACGTGACTGCCCAACGCACGCCGAAGGTGATCATCATTGTACCAGCATAAAGAAGCCAGTTCAAACAAACCAAGTCCCATGGTATGCTGCAGGGTGACCCATACCTAGCTTAGTTGTACAATATTTTATTGATTTAATTAACAGTCTGAGCAAGTTGCGTTCTTTGCCGGGAATGGTAAATTACTGAACTTCTCTTGAGGCCTATTCCAATAAACCAAAATGTGCTTTTAAACTTTCAAACCAAAGCGCACTTAAAATGTTTATTCATTGTCTTCAATTAACCGTTCCAAATTAGGTACCTGTCCACTTCCGCTTCATGTTATCTGCGAGAGTAGGTTAGATTGCTATCTAAGGACCTGTTAGATACAGCAAACTGGTGATTAGGTTTTTTTGCTTGGGCAATTCTCAGACATAACCACTTGTAAAAAACAGTATAGAACAAGAGATCTTGCAATGCATCAACTGGAGAAGCACGAAATTTGGGCACCCTGTAGACAAAAAGGCACAAATTCTCTAACAAGAAAAGCCTCGTTCAAAATACACAGACGCCGATTCTTTTATCTTGAGGCGGTTTTTAAACTGCCACAGTTTTTTTATCAAACAATGTCCTAACAAGTGATGAAATATTGGTAGCGCTGAAACTAAAAATGTCGACCGATGAATGCACCTTTCACAGATCCGACCATCATTGCATTTAAACTTGATTATTACGCCATTAAAATGCAAGCTAACCGATAAGCGCCTGAGTGGACCTTTGTACAATTCCGCTTTTTACATGGAATGGGATATGGTCTGAATTTTTTCTGTCTCATTTACTAGACTTTTTTATGGTTATGTCAAGACGATAAGTGAAGATCGGTTAAATATGGACTAGAAGAGTCTGTTTTCATCCCCATTTGGAGCCTGGCTATTGTGAATGTAATTGAACAGTTTTCTTTCTCACCCACAAAAGCTCGAAATTATGCTCTTTAATTTGCACTCCATTTTGACATATTAACGTTTGAGTACCTGTTTCTCCTACGGTATTTTTTTGCTGTGAATGGATTAAGAATTTTTCTGGTACTCTAGCAAAAATAATTGCACCGATGGATCATGTTTCCTATGAGAGAAGACGGAAATCGTAGAAGATCAACTAAGGAAAGAAAAAAGTAAGTCTCCTAATAAGAAGACCAAAGTACGAGGTCGGCAGAGTCTCGGATTCTTGCATAGCTACAAACCAGTGGATATCCTGTCTTGCTGGGGGCACTCATATCTATATATGTCTGTGAGCCTGAAGTTACGTGGCGCGGTCATTTGTACTAGTGCGTTTGTGTGTTATTCCCTTTGATTTTGTTCGCACTACACATGTCACTACAAACTATCTACGATGTCGGGTATGTCAGCTGAGCTCACTTACATCACTTTCCACTCAAGTCAGTGTTTCGGCCGGTATTTCTACTCTAGTCACTGTTTTGGCTGGTGCGTTTTCATTGCCGTGACCCCACTCCTGTATTAAAATCTGAACACCAGACACAATCACGCCGTCACCACTCTTCTGGACTCATATCTTTCTTGTTCGCTAATGGTCTTGCATGCATAGAGCAAATAAAGGGAAAGACTGATAGTTTAGGTAAATGGTAATAAGTTGTTCTCTTAAACGGTATATTATGTACGTATCATATATATATATATATTATTTCGTCAGAAACTACTTCGAAGCGTTAAAGAAAAACACAAAATTTTGGGGTGGAAAAACAGAAATGGTGATACAAGTTTGCACATCGTGGCGTCGCTAGGAGATGAAGAAATGATTGTGGTAAGTAAAATTATCTGATCCACAGCCAGAGAAGTGGCGTGCTTTTTTTTGCAAAACTTTACAACCAAGCACAAGGGGAAATTGAGGTTTATAATGACATGGCTGTACGGTGTGGAAACACATCTGATGTTTTTGTCAATGGTAGTGTTGCGGCACCAGCGCAGTTGATTCTAAACAAACGATCCATATATGCCAGGTGTCGACTAAAAGTCAACATGTAAAGAGATTCTGTCGACAGAGAGTGCTCCTCTAAAGACATAGTACTTTGTCATGTAAACCTCAGTTAAGCGTCTAGTGAAGTATGTGCCGAATGTCCTTTCTATGAACCAATCATCCACTTCCATGTTTGCCTGATGACGCAGCCCATCTGAATGACATCACACGCATGCTCTCAACCCTACAGTGTGCTTACACTCCTTGGACGTTCCTACCAAAACTAACGCGATGCTAACCGTCCAACTAATCTCCATCGGGTTGCCCTCAATAGGATTCGTGCTATCCTGCAGTGATTTTGGACGGAAATAAGGCACGTTTTACGGTAAACTTGCATCTGCTATTGATTCGGTACGAATATCAAACGACACTGCAGCCCGTGGGCCTTGTAAGCGTTGCAGGCGGGGGTGTCGCGTGTCTGAGTAACCCCAGAGACTGGTGAAAGGCACATCTCTGATGATTCCCTTTAGGTATGAAACAGATGTACAGTGTTTCTGGGCTTTTCAGCACAGCTTGGTTTCATTTGCAATGTAAATTCTAGATCCTGAAGTTTTCATATTTCCAACATCTTGTCACTTTGTTGAAGATTTCGATGAGAACTCAGCTAGTGCAGAAAGTGCACAGTTTAGTTCGCCAGTACCCAAGTAATAAGAGAATTAAAGGACATAGATTGATTTGTGAGCCGTAGGGGTTAGATTTTATTGGTTTAGTAGGAAATAATACACCCAAGTAGAGCTTAGTTAGCAAATTCTGCTTACAACTGCGGCAGCGTATTTCCCTTTTGTTTTTATTCTCACTTTCACAACTAGCCAACACCCTGTATTGTTTTGTAATAATGCTCATCTTGGAAAAGCAAATTAAGTCAGCCTTCGAGAAATTCCTCTTCATAACGCTGTCTTTCAAAGCATATCGTCGCATATAACGCACTTTTTATTGAAAGCATGTACCTGTGAACTTAACGACTGAGACTTGAGTCACTTGGTTTAGTCTACCACGGTGACGATGAGATTTAACGCTACAAAAAACTTCCAAATACATGGAAATATTTCACACTGCACCAGAACTCAATTCCCTTATCAGAGCCCGAGACCTTTTACGTTTCAAGATTAAGCGCTTAAAACACGGGTTTGTCAAATGCGCCCAGCAGTTCCTGTGGAACGGCTTTGATGCGCAATGTCTTCAAAGATGGCATTATCTGAAGTGAAAACTGTATAAGGTTCAAGTCTGTCGTGCATGTTCATTTATTGTAAACAAAAGCCTCGTCTATATTTCAGAATCTTCACAATGAGGGTGCCTATAGGTGGGCGCTTAACTTCTGCCGGCAAACACCCCTCCATATTGCTGCATCAAAAGGTCACCTAAAGTGAGTTTCCTCCCGCTATCCGTAAAATTTAATTTCACATATACTTAGAGATTCTCGGAAAACCTCAGATGTACTCGATATATTATAACATGCAGTATATCCTACCTAATAAACGAGGGATATTAACTCAGGCATTTCACTGACAAGAAAGCACTAGAATAGTGGAATAAATTTAGGTTTGAGTTGACCATTGTTACAAATGGATAGTTCGTGGTAATGACACCATGCGACGCAACGATGGTTTGGAGAAGTTTATTTATTTATCACTTCTGACCTTTTAGAATCACACTGAATGTTTCTTTTCCTTTTTCAAAAGGTTTTCTTTAAACCTAGATTTTACAAATTTTTTGTTATATGAACCGATCAGAGCTACCCACATAATCAACCGCAACACCACAAATAGAGCCACTTTTGGAATCCAGGGCATCTTTTTTAATGGCTGATTCTCCGATAATTCACTTGTTTTTCACACAGAGTTGCAACTCATCTGACAGAGGTACACCCATTCTCGATTGATGCCGGAGATGAGAATGGCAATACCGCGTTGCATTATGCTGCAAGAAATGGACATGTTAGCGTTGTCGAGCATTTGCTCACACTTAGTCGTCCTACTTACAATGCGAAAAATGTTCAGGGACGCACAGCGTTAATGTATGCGGCGGAAAACGACCAAACAGAATGCATTGAGGCATTGTTGAAAGCAAGGAACTTAAACGTGAATATGACCGACAACTTTGGAGTGAGTTGGTTTACTATTCGGTTGAAGAAAACGATAAATTGTGGACAAAAGGGGTTTGCTATCTGTTAGTACATTTTTGTCTAGAAGGCTGTTGCTGTGCCTTAATATTATTACATTTTATGTAAGTTATCCCCTAGCCACAAAGGTTATGAAACCACTTACGGTCGTTCAAAAGGAAGTAATCTTTTCGGAAAACCTCCCTCCGATGAAGACCTCGGGTTGTGGTTTCACAGAAGAGCCACAGCTCGCCTGTCTTTCCTCCTCTGTACCACCAGTCCACAACAGTTGCATGTATGTCTACCGGAGATTTGAGCTTAAAAGGCACCACTCAACCCGCGCGCTTTGATACTCCATGTGCTGGTGGATACTATGAAAAAGAATCTCTTCAGCTGCGATACAAGTTTGTCATAAGTGGTTCGACAGCCATCAAGCGGCTATTCGGGGAAAGTACTTTTTGGTGGTCAACTACGATAAGTAAAGTAATTCAGGGCTGAAGTTCTATCCTTGGTAGCACTCTACTCTCCTAAACTTGGGTGCAGTGAATCCCATCCAGTATTTTTCTAAAACTTTTGTTTAGGCAGTAGTGGTCTAGTAACTGACGGTAATTTTATTCGTAACACTAGATAAGCAAAAGTTCATGCAAGTCGTGTGAAAAGTTGTCCGAGCCTGACTAATGAATATTCGGTGGATTTGGTGTCATCCACAATGAGAACAACACTTCCGAGTTTAATTGTGCCTGACGTCCAAAAAGCCGGTTCATTTATTGTTTCGCGTGTACGAAATGGACAGACTAGAATCACTGCAAAATGTCGGTTCACTGATCGGGTTTCAGCCTCTTTCGAGCAATATTGACAAGCCAGAATCCTGAATGAAATTGATTTCTCCGATCCTGGGTTGTTAGGTAGACTCAGGTCGTCGTGCCATCCAAAAACGATTACTGGTTGGGTGAAGGGGTGGCAGTTTTTATTCGTGTTCTGGAGATATTCCTGACCTTTCCGAGTAACTTTGGTTTTCGAGTTATGAGACCTGAAGCAAAGAAAAACTACGGCTCTCATCCAAAGTTAGAAAAATCCAAAGATGTGGGAAGCGGTTATGATTGGTTTTTCTTTATACTCTTTTCGATTGTTGTTAGCATAACTCTAGTCAACTTCAACAATTTAATGCGTATTCCTTAGCAGCAAAGGCTACGTTCTGATGGCGGTCATCTGTTATCTGTTTTAGAGGACCCCTCTGATGATTGCATGTGAACAAGGTAACGCGAATTCAGTGAGACTTTTGCTGAAAAATGGAGCCGAACTGACCTACTGCATCTCTCATGCTTGTAAACCTTTTGCTGGCTGGAATGCATTGAATTTGGCCATTTGGAGCAGAAATCTGTGAGTTGATTGTGAGCCGCAATAGTGACCTATTTTTATTCATGTACACTTGTTACATAAGAGATGTTACACTGAAAGGGCTACTCATGGTTTCATCCACACGGTATTCATGAACCCTCAAATTGAGCATCTCGAAGAGCAGCTACTTTCTTGAAAAAAGTAATAAGGCGACTGCTATACGTGCAGCAACTGAGGTTGAACTCTTCGCACAACATAAAATACTGTAAAGGATACACCGTTTTTGCACACCAGATGGCTGTTTTGGTGGACGATTTAGGTACCGATTGCTTCGGTATTTTGAGGGTGACCAAGTCGAAGAGGTTTAAACTCTGAGGACGTAATGGGAGGCTGTGGCTGAAGCCTCACTTCCATCTTCACAAAGGAGACTACTCACAAGGTTGCTGAAAACTCTTTGACAGCCCACGACCGGTTTCGCCCTTCTTGGGGCTTATCATGTAGGCGCCGTCTCCGCGTTTTCGTCGATCTTATGTTCTACTTGAACATCGTCCTTAATGGAGAGGTTTGAGCGTAGACAGTTATGACTGCCAGATTTACTGTAGGGCCCCTGAAAAGAGCTGTTGCAATTCTGGAGGATACTGACTCCTAAGAGAGTAAGGCATTCTGAGCACGTTCCCTAAGGGCAAAGCAAACACCAATCTGGTTAGACTCATCATTTAGGCTAATGTGGTACAGCCACCAGAAGAGTCCCTAGTAGTCTGGTGTGTTGTGGACCAAAACCGCGAATTCGTGTCTCTTAGGGTTATGTCAATGTGGTCTAGCATAATAAGATTCTGATTCCTTACTTTGAGCGAATTGCGGTATTTAGAAGCATAAGTACGGTGAGTTCTTTTTTGAAGGGAGATGTGTGAGACCCAGTCTGCACATTTTTCAGCATGACAGCCAACCAGAGACCCCGTAGGACAAATAAAGCTTTGCTATTGGGACATATTCACAGACTAACATAGATGGTTGCTTATTGACAATGACCTCAAAGCTATGCGGCAATTTTCGAAGCTGTAACTTTACACATTCAAGTGCCAACCGTAAGGCAGCAGGAGGGTGTTTAGAGCAGAACCATGGGAGAGGCCGGTAGATCACATCAGTCCATTGAGACAGATCTGAGATTTGCCCGATTTTGCTCGTCTGACTGTTGGATATGTAAGCGCAAACCAAATGACCCAGTCACCGGTTACCGCCACACGGTTTGTACGTCCATTGTGTAGCACTTAATACTGACCAAGAGCACATGTATTCCTGGTAACACCTGATATCTCCTTATGGAGAGGCAAGTCTCACTGTGTTGTGATGTCATCTTTGGACTCATGTGAAACTTATAAATCTGGCCGCCAGCCATGAATATGGCAAATAGCATTGAGAGGAAGAAGGCCTTTGCTGCGGAGTTGTTTATTAGAAAACACCAACTGAACAGTTACAGACTATTGGACTGGGAAGAAAAACTCTCATTTACATCTAGTTTACAAAATTGAATATCCATCTTCTCTTTGAACACGTTTTCCTGAATTTCCTTGAATATTCATTGACTGTTACTTAAATGCAAGCAAATGCTACAAAGAGACTTCACAAATTCCGTGGTAGATTTCACTTTTCAAGAGCATTGAAGCGGATTTACGGGAAAACGTACTACTCGCATACCTCAGCAGTAGTATCCACAGTCACACTGGTAGTACCACCACTAGAGCCATTCTGGCCTATCTGCAACAGAACTCACACTATGCTGAGTGTTGTTCGGTCACACTGACTAGGGATACAAGTGTGATCAGAAACACTCTCGCTTCAGCCAAGATACTATTACTGATTCTTTGGGAATACTCAGGCTACCATCGTCTGAACGATTAGTACGTACGCCTTGCAACAATTGTGCGCTGAAAAAAACAGCTCAATCCGCTTTACTTGTGTGTTGCTGTGCGCAATAGAATAATGATATCGTGAGTTTTGTAATGTTCAAATTGCGAATACTCACAAGATGCCCGGACTTTGGAAACATGAACTACCCAAAAGAAATTTAAAATCATCCGAATGGTTTATCCTACAAGCGTTACCGAGCATAATGAAAAAAATGTATGCTCCAGTTTGACACTGGCTCAAGGCAATATTACGCTGAACTGTGAGGCTGTGTTCGAGACCCTCTCTGTCAAATAATTTAATGCTGGCCACCAAGCAGTCTGGTTTTTCATCAGGGAGCCACTAGTGATCCAAATGTTACCAAGGTGATGTTTATTACGACACAGTGACAGTGAGAGCAATCAGGTCAAGAGATAGGCATTTTTGAATGGTAGATCCCAATATGTGCGTGTCAACTTGTCACTTAATCGTCTAATTATGCAGACAGTCTCACTGAACCAAAAACTCCAGAAGATCACTATGAAAATATTTTTGTTTGATGAACTGCATATGTCCGGTGATATAAAATTTGGCACAAATGCCTTAGGTCCCCAAAAGATAGTACCTACTTTTGGTGAGTGTATGACCGTTCCCCTAAAAGATGTATTTTTCACGGACGCTGTATAATCAGTTCGTACCTACACACTGTCGGCTAACGTGCACTAATCATGGTGCTGTCATTATGTCACCTATTTTAGCGACTGTGTTCTTGAAATTCTGAATAGCGACAACTGGCGTGATGCTATGTGGAACACTGCAAAAGATTTAAATGGCGAATGGATGACTCCTATGCGTCAAATGATTAAAGAGCTTCCAAGTAAGTCCCTCAAAGTCTTTCGGCTGTAGTGCACGAAGATTTTATGTGTTTCGATTTGAGTAAACCAACCTACCATCAGCGTCGTTGATTGCGATACTAGAAGGTGCTCCACAACGACATCAGTTTATCTGAATTAAGCTTTACAAAGGAAAGAAGAAAGAAAAGGGAAACAAAGAGGGACCTAGGGACCCATCCAACTGATGAGATAACACATTTCATCACAAAAAGAATATTTCTGGTATACCTTTTATCCAATTTGACGAACATGAGGTTCGCTCAACTAATGGTGAGCTTCCGGAAATAAAAAAGGCTGAATTCCGGCGGACTGTGTTAATATCTGACAATTAGTTTTGGTTATAAGTGCACTTGCAGTGAGCGAGTTACACTCACGACTTCTCAAAGCAGCAAAGCCTTTTGTAGGATAAGCTTTTTTCTCAGTCATTTCGGGCAAGGGGCTGGCAACAATGAGCGACAGCTTACTCTTAGCAATAGATGGCGGCCCGGGGGGGGAGTATGATTCAGATGCAACTTCAGGAGTCAGAAACCCTCACTTGGAGTAGTTCCACAACTATTTCATCTACGCTAGCAATATTTTTATCCACAGATGCTAATGATTGTTGAAGGAAAGCAGTTTGTGGTTTTTCTTTGGCCAGTGGCAGCAAGGGACAGCGCTTATTCTGAATATAATGATTTGCGTCAAAAATATTTATTTTGGGGCGAGCTGTAAACAAGGCATAGTGGAATATCATGTGCTTCAGGTCATATTATACGGTGTTGTATGGAATACCCCCGTGTAAAAGCCGATATATATATATATATATTGTATAAAAATGATGTGGCGCTGAAATAAAAAAATTTCGCAGATCAACTGAAAGCAATCGACTGCGATCGTTTACTTGAAATAACCCCTCTTGGGTTGAACTCTCCATCTGGTTTGATGTATGTTTATTCTGGAAAATAAATTTTATCGTTTTGCATAGTCCTGTCCTGATGATGATAAAGGGATTTCTCCCATCCGGGTGTAGGAATCGCAAAACCTTCATCTTCCAGTCCAATTGAGAACACCTGAATAACTTACTTGTAAACAATTGCCTAATAAGGTTGTTTTTGGAAAAAAAGAGCTAAGTGCAAATTGCGCACTACCACTGTGTTTGTGATTATCTGCTGTCCTATATGGACCCATGGGTAATCCTTGCGGTGCACATTTGGTTGAAAAACATCACAAAATCTACGAGGGGTACATTCTAGTTGGTGTGCACCTCTGATAAATAAACGATCCCTCATAAACAGTTTATTCGAGGTGGCAGACAAGAAATAAAGGAATCTACGACTGCAGCAGGTTGAGCAACCCTGCCTAGCTCATAAATACAAACAGTCGTTCTTCTGAAGAAGGAAAGCCTTTTTCCAAATGCGGCACGCATTACGAATACTTGCAAACCCAAGTAAATTTTTCACACAACCCATCGCTACTCTGACAGCACATTGTGCTTCTCCATATACACTCAATCGCTCCTCAACTGCTCGACACAGAAGACGTTTTTCTCCCTTTTTGCATCAAGAACGTGTTTTGTATGTAGCTTCTTCGAGACAATACTATTTCCAGATAAATTACCCTATATTTGATCAGTTGTTTCATAATGTTTGTCAATAGCCACACCACTCTCATATGAACGGCCGTGTTCCTGTTCTGGCGTAATTCTTTCGGTGAGTCCACACCAAAGGGAAGCACCGGACTCGAATTTAGCTCTTATTAGAGCTCATCAGCAGTGCATATCCAATGACCGTGCCGGGATTCGAACTCTGGACATCTGACATGCGAGGCGAGCGTGTAACTACTACTCGTTGGATGCATCTGAATTTTCACGTGTGAATAGGCGAACATGTTCACACTTGAGCGATGAGATTGGTGTGCCCGACTCACCGAACGACGACCCAGTAACTGTCCTGGTTGTGACGATCGATTGACCGGGCAGGTTTGAAACCACTGAACAGTTCAGATCCGCTCCAGTTAAGAGCACTCTGTCCATAGATCTGGAACAGAGAAGCTGTGTGTGAATTTCGGTCACATAATTATTACACCCTACCTAGACGATTTGATGTCCGGGAAATGACGAGATCACAAATAACTATACTGGTTTTGTTCTGGTCTTCAGGCAATTTACTTTAGGGTACATGGAAACTCAATAAAAGGTAGAAAGTCATTTAAAATATACATCCAACACAATAATGCAGTTAGACAGTCAGACATATAGTACTCACCTTGCTAAACCTAATCAACAAGGTAAATATCATGAAATAAGTAAATTTGCCCCCAACCATGTTGTCTTCATTGCCCACAGGTCCATTTTTGGTGTCCGTACTAATCGTTTTGTTCAGGAAAACAAGGTTTCAGCAGCAAATGTATATGGCCTCAGTAACAGTAAGCAGTCGGCTTAATGTAAACTCCATGTGGTTTAGCGAAATACACTCATTTGCAAACAAATTTACTTTTGCGAGAGACTCACCTGGAACCCAGCTGAATTTCTCGTTTGTGATGTTTTCAGGCAACTGAATGTGTTGCGTCAGGCCGCCCCACGTTCCACTTGCGACGATATTCGACATATTGCGATACATGTGTTTTCGTAATGCATTACTCATAAGGTTGCTGGAAATGTTTCGGCAGCCCACGAAAGTTTTCGCCAAGAAACATTAAAAACGAGAGATTCCGCTGGGTTCCAGGTAGTCTTTAGCAAGAAGAAAATTTGTTGCAAATGAGTGTATTTCGCTAATTCCGTGTAATTTGATTTCAAGTAAAACATAAAATTGACGGAACCACGGGGACTGCGTCTACCTGATGAGTCCGAAAAAGGGCGAAACCGGTAAACGGCTGTCGAAGATTTTTCAGCAACCTTATGAGTAGTGCATTACAAATATCCATATGATTTGTTAAGATCCGCCGCGTACCCTGAAAAGCACTGATGGTAATAACGTAACTAGAATCACCTAAATGCATGGAAACTAAGGTTGGATCAATTTTTTTATTTCATGCATCAATCAAAGTGGGTAATTTTGATAGATTCTCTCAGGCAGCTGCCTTGGTGCAATGTAAATGTATAAAGACCTGGGTAGGCATTAAACGCTTGTTTTTTCGAAAACCCGGTACTCGTAGACGTTTTTCTTATCCCTCCTGTTTTTCCATTAAAAATCGGTTGAAACCAACCTGGAGAATAATCGAGATGTCAGAAAAACAACCGTATCGCTATGGATATTACAACCAATGGTTAGCCCAATATTTTTTGGATCCCTAAAGCGGTTGGTTTTACGGGTAGAGATTTCCACAGAAATGTAAGAACTTCCGCTTTGTCGTAGGCGGCTGAGTTGGAAGAAGCTCCCGTTTAAATTTCCATTTGTTTTTAGCTCACAATCTAACTTTTTCGGAGATTTCCCTAACATTTAGTATTCATACTAAACACGCTCTGCTCAACGCTCCCTTTCTTGTGTGCCATACAAGAAGCCGCTCTATGTGTCTTGGACAAAAGCGTAGAGCATCACGAGGAACCTGATGATCCAAAGTCAACTGTGGTCAAATTCGATTTCCGATTCCTCGAACAATGGGAATCATACATGAGAAGTCCATGGACCCAAAGACCCAGGTTCCTACGTAACTGCTGCAAACCAAGGCAAAAGGTACGGTACCAGAAAGACGTGAGTGACTTCTTTTGGTTGTTCGTCCAAGCTTTCGATGAGGGACATTAAAAGGTATTTGATCATTAGAGAGCATGCTCGGTAAGGTAAATATCCATTGAGTCGTACTATTCATTTCAAACTGCCAGTCGTGTACAAACATATGAAGATCGCTGTGGAACTCCGAGAAATGAGGACCAAACCTGTGTTGTTCAACTGGAAAAGTAAACCTAGCTAACATGAGGAAAAACAGGTCAATTAATCTTGTGCGTACTATAAAGCAAGTTTCAGGACTGTTTACAAAATGAGCATTTTTAAAGTATGAGTATTCCTTAAGGTAACATGATTTCACCAGAGCACTTCTTTGTTGTTAGGACACCAGCGTATTTTTCATGGAGTATCCCGACACTTTTACCAAGTTGATTCGAATGAAACCTACAGAAATCTCCCTACGTGCCTGCGGAAATCTACGGGAAAACTGAGAATGTCCTATGTTAAGTTACGTGTTTTGTGGCGCAGGTTATTACAATGACCGCGATACATTTTTGACACAAGGCGCTGAAATCACAACTACATACGTAGCCTTGAGTACTCAAGGCATCCTATGTGTTAGCTTTATAAATTACATCTAAATTCCGTATGATAAATGCCAAAAAAGTCCTAAAATCAGAAGAGGTTCTGACATATGATATGTCACAGAAGAATGTAGTTAAGCACTTTGCGTGCACGTTGTGCGACTCTACATTTCTGCTCTCATTGGTGAAAGTTTGATCGAAGCCATTTCTGAATCCGAAAATTATTGTTTGCACACCTGATGCATTTCCTCAAGCAATAATATGGAGTCGTATGCGAGACCATCGGACTGATGATCAGCTAGGAAATTCACAAGTCAATGCCTCCTGACACAGTAAAATGTTTTAAGCAAAGAGGTAAAGAGCTGGAATTGCCGCTTAGTTGCAAGACATTATTATGCAACCAGTGTAATGAGAGAGAGCTAGTCACAATGTTGGTCAGCCACTCGAGACCGAACGGACTAGTGTTCGAACGCTAGACTAAGGGTCGCTGACTTGGACTCAGTTTCTTGAGATGTGTACTGTTAACAATTCCTAATAAAATTGTAACAGGTTTACAGTGCTTCTCTGCCTTTCACGATTAGTGTAAAATAAGGCAGAATGGTATGTTTCCTCGATGTCCGTAGGTATGGTGTCGACCATCAAAGATGCTTCTTTAGTTGCACATTCTTATATACACCAGATGCTACCTTTCGCAGGCACATTCGTTAGTGAGGTAGCTGGTTGGATAGAAAACTGAGCATCTCAAAGTCAAACCTGGAGGACCATACCTACGGTCCTTTACCACATACGTGCTTCAGTACATTTTACAGCCATTTCATTGTCAAGGATGGCATCGACGCAGATTTCAGTGAGACAATCGACTGTCAGTTTGTTATTTCAACTAAACTCTCGGAGCCCTTTTTATGGGCGTGCACAGTTGCCCTAAACGATTATACATCCTGACCTTAACCTCCCGCGAAACTACATTAAGTCAGAGGCGTTCTGACACAGCACGGTTCAGTCTACGACATTTGACCTACAGTAATCAGGTTACTTAACAGAATGGAGTTCTCCGTCTAAGTCAGATAGATCTTACTATGTTATCACTCATGACAGGATTTACACGCAGTTACATCCTCTGCAACGACCCATAGATCTAAGTGATTGTTTTCGACCCAAGGTAGAAAACGCCTTCCCTTAGACCTAACATAAGTGTCTTTCCACCAAAGTATATTCATTCCCTAGCAAAAGTCTTGGTTAGAGCCATACCATACGCCGTAGTCATTGCTGATATGCTGATTGGACATATTCCACGGGCTGGCTTGCCCACCTGAACCCCTTATAATTGCAAGACACCCCAGCAGATTAGTGTCTGTTCAAAATCGTCTGACCAAGCTTCCATGTTTTGGAAAAATAATCAACAAAACCGACTTCAGGTTAGTTGGAGACAGTATGATTAAACTCTTTAGCCTATTTTGTTGAAAACGTAACCCGACTGTCATCACGGCTTAAAAGTTTGGGCCAACCCCGCTCGGATATTGTTGAATAAATTGAGCGCCATGTGGAATAGAATCTGACTGGTGCAAAGTCAAAACAACCTGCTGGAATAAGCTGTTGTGGGGAAGGTTGTCCATGACGATCGGAATGCCAGATTATAACATCTTATTTTACTACGCTGTGTTGAGTTCAAACTCTCACATTTGATTAGGTTCAAAATATCCCGATAATACCTGTGTTTGTAGGCAAGGATTTCTAAACTCTACCCACAATCGTCGACAGAGTGAATGGAACGCAGGCGGCCTCTTCACTGCCTGATGCAAAGAAAACAGGCATTGGTTGTCTGTTAAATTATCTCCGTTATATAAGATTTCTACATCTGATCGTGCCCTACAGGGACACCGTCGTGACCGACATGAATTGAAGAGTTCACTCTTTAGAGTAGATTCAGACAAAGAATTTACATCTAACAAGATGCAGTTTTTTTCTAATCTTTTGGCTTAACAATTTATTCAGGGCATCCAAGCCTGGGGAGCAAAGATTTCGTCCCTGAATCGCTTATGGTGTGAGCAGAGGAAAGACAAACAAAAAAACTGCTCGTGGTTTAAAATATAGTTTTCTCCTTGGCTTGATCCTCGAATCTACCCAGAAACTACAGAGTCGTTCGTTTCTCAAACGAACTCTGTCCCTCGTTGACGAATGTTGTCAAGTCACACCGTAGTTGGGAACTAGTTAGTTCTTTGAACTACTCAAACGTCAAGTCTGATAACAGGTACCTAGGATTCCTAATTAGGATGTTTCCCTTGACGCCTACCTTGACGCCACCCCACAACCAAATACGCATTGTCCTACAGAATCAAAAATATGCGCTTTTCTGTTGCAGTACACCCATGATGATATAACGGTGCCCTTCCTGCATTCGGATCAAGTTTGTGTTCTGGATAACAGATCGGAGCCAGAACTCGTCCATCCGATGCGTTTGATGGTAAGCCGACATCCAACTTCTCCCTACTTCGTGTTTTTGTTTGCAAAATAAAGGTTGCATTTTCGGGTTTTGTAGGATTTTGTTTGGCTGGCCTAAATTCTTGTCCTAACGCTGTCAGCTTTGACAGTCGAGGGTGATAATTTTTTGCAACAATATGCCCAGTGTCCGAGAGCCCCAGTACTCATTTGTGTAGAATTGAAACAGTGAACTACATTCAGCCCATGTGTCCGATTCGTTTGTGCCTTCATCGCTTGTGCATTAAGTGCTTGTTTTTCTTTTCATGCAGAATCTGGTGGGAATAAACTCTGCGGTTTTTGGATTATAAGTGGGAATTTCTTGCTAGTTTCCTTTGTAAACTAAATGCAACAGCGCACTATCGGCTCTGCCCTAATTATTCATCCATCGGTGAAGGTAAATGATAGTTTCGTACTTCCTTAAAGATGTCGCTTTACTCCCCCCGGTTGCCAATCCAGGCTAGATCAGCTGCATACATGTGCCAAATCGGTGTGACTAAGGTTTCAGAACGTAAGATGTCTTGTAGATAGACAGAGTAACCGTCTAACTGCGATTTCAAAATTTTGTGCATAGAATACCTTAGACACTAAAATCGGTCTTTCTCAATGTCATCAGTGGGAACGGATTTTTTCACTGAGATAACTGAGTTGAATTAGCCCATTTATTTGTCATTTTCAAGGATTTAAGTGAAATCACATGTAGAGTTATCTCTCAGGGTTTGGCGACCGAACTTAACCGAATGAACTAAGTAGCTTACAAGGGAAACTGTCTGAAAACCAATTACAGAATATTTTAACGCAACCCGTCTGTTATTTCCCCCTTCTATTTACATCGTTATTATAGCTGAAATACAATCGTGAAGAACTTATCTCGCATCCGGTGGTGCAGTCAATTTTATCCCAAATGTGGCAGCCCGTACTGGGTCTTTATCTACTCAATATGGGATTTTTCTTACTATTTATCGCCCTTTTCACGTCGTTCATGGTACTCACTGATCCTCCGTATCTGCTGTAAGTCCCACTGTTTCAATTGCAATGTTACGTGTGCCTGTGGTCCTCAACTTTTTCTATAAGCATGCAATTTTTCCTGGTCTGATTGAACTATTAATGTTGCAAGAAATCTCAGGTAGATTAGCTGCAGAATAACCTATATGCATAATCCTTATATAGTTTAATAGCATGGTTAGACCTCTTCAAGTCAGTGAAACAGATCGGCACGTAATATACAGAAGTACGATAGCCAGGAAACCGAGTGTCAGTGTGCCACAGAACCCACAATTGAACATCAAGACCAAGCTATTTGGATTCAACTACAGCTCACTACCGTACAAAGAAGGTGTGAATCAAAAGGGTATGAAAGCCTCCCAGTCCCATCCACGCTAGATCCCTTTTCCCACAGAACAAGTTGTGCAAAAGATTGAAAAGCTGCAGAATTTCGTTAGAACAAAGAGAAGCAATTTCGAAAAAATATGTCACTCGTACTCGTCGGCTTTACATAATTACAAAGGTTATAACTGACATGAAAATGTGCTCATTTGTGCAGTACAGGTTTAAGACTTAAGTAATAAAAGCGGTATCAAAGTATATCAAATTTACCGTCTAGGGTTAATTGGTGACCCAAGTAAGACACCTCCAGGAGAGCGAATTCCGTTGTAAATGCCTTATCAGTATTGCTTCGGTAATGGTTCGGTCTACTCAGCTACTCTAATGAGCGAGTTGTTTGAAAAGAGCTTCTGGATATTGTGAATCATGCTCTGCGTCGGTGGTAATGGCCTCTTCTTTCGTTCTCGGCTCGCATTTTCTGGTGTAGGCACCGTTCCCTTCTGCTCATGTCATTGTCACAGCAGCAGCAGGTCAAGTGACAAATAAACTGTAGGGCAAAATGCACTGGTGGATCTGGTCCGGCATTGTTTAACCGACCACGTTTCGCACGCAGCGACAAGCACTACCACGCATCCGGATTTTCCACTTAAAATGTCGACTGGAATTGGTTGCACACCTCGTTTGTAATGTGGTCTCATCAAATAGGCGTTGCAAAGAAAACCACGTATTTCGATGAAGTGATACTCCGCATATGTAGGAACAGGTGTAGATACTTTTTTGGTCTGTTCACGAGCTATCAACGTTTTAATTAAAATCCTAATTTTGTCTGAACCGTTTGATGCATGCATGGCGCACTACGCTAAATAGAGTGGTTACCAGAGCATACTTGTATGTAACCGGCACTTAAAGTGCTTTTACCGAAGGCTGCTTGGTCAAATTCGGTTTGTAAAGCAAGGAATATAAAATTCAAAATAATTCTCACTAGCGATTCGCGCACTAGTTTCTATTCCTCTCAAATTATTTTAAAAGGGCCCAGCTGTATACAATAAGAGACTCCCCCTACGGAAACATAAACCGTCAAACATGTTTAATAAATCACATACAACAGTATACGGATCGTCCCAGGTACACGTATCTCGAAACCTTTCGTACATGTCTAGGAAGTATTTATTGCTGGGTTAGTATATGTAGCCAAAATCAATCTATTTGTAGCAAGTTCATAGACAGTCTCGAGGATACTGCATCATCCGCGAATCATCCTGAACGAAACCCCAAGACCTGTCCCTTTATTACCTTAATGGGATTTTTGAAACACTGTCAAGTATCCGGCTAATGGCTTGATTATTTCAAAACTCTGGTAGAAAGTTGGGGCTCATTTTGTTAAGTTGACTTTGGGGTGTTAAATCAAACAAACTACACTACTACATCACTAGAATGATTATTACACCGGGGGTGAAAATTTAAAAAAGTGTGGCCATATTAGACTGGTGTTCTGATGATTTCAGTGTGACTACGAAACTGCTAACTAGATGAAATTTGGAAATCTCCATTTTTGAAATGGAAAACTCACAGACGCTTCAGTCCACTGGTACCTGTTATGTTACTAATTAGCTGTTGATTGAATGGTACAGCACACAAACCCAGTCACCAACAGTACTTTGTCATGCGCATGCGTATGCTTACAAATCGACCGGGGTCTATCGCATTCTGTTTAGCCCCTTACTCTGTATAAGAATTTGAGGGAAGTTGCAGTACAGTTGGGAGATCGCGTAACCTCATTGTATCCGAGCCAGATGATGCATAAAAACTGTTTCACATTACAGCATTCAACCTCCATCTTCAATCAGGGGCTAAACGTAGACAGAATACCTACAACTATTCGGTAGATATCTGGTAACCAACCGAATCACATATTCCTCTTTTAGATTAGGTCAGAGGAGTCTCAGCACTGCGGAGCTTTGCGCGGAAATGGAGCAAAACCAACAAAAAGCATACCACTTGTTTGTTCAGTTCCCAAAATACGCTCTGATGGTGGCCAGCATTATTAATATTTTGAAAGAAGTGAGTTCCGCTAACTTTAACATATGTGGCGTTGTTCACAACCTCTTCAGTTTATTCAGTCATAGTGTAATCCGTCCAATACTACAGCGTTTTAACCTTCCACTGAGGTGGAGTTCCTCAGCCACTATAACAAGCCACGTACATTCAATCAAGTTAAACGTTATTTAGTTATCAACAATCATATTATCAGCTCATTTAGTGAACGGCTGATCACGTAATCATCATCGTGAATGAAAACTAAAATGCTTCTCTGGCGGCTTGTGTAATCCAGCTCAATAACGTGGTCAACAGAAACAAAGAGGAAACACCCAATCATTTTGTAATAATCGGATCATCCAATCAGTTTCGGATTGCGGCAAAGTCCAAATGTGATTTCAGGATCTCTATTTCGACGAAACCTACAAGATTCCTCCAAAATAAACAGTTTACTGCCTAAAAAACTTCCAATAATTCAAATGGATGAATGACTGTTGACATCATCGTATTCATAATTACAATTCCCTCCATGTTATTAGGTTTATCACTTTCATTTGCAACAGCTCCTTACAAGTGGAGTGCAATTTTGAAACCGAGCACCCCATGGATGGCACAGCCAACCGACCCTCATCAAATCACCAACTGTTCCCATGTGTCCACACTGCAGTCCTCTGTATGTGGGTCTGAGTGATTCCTTGTTCAACTGGCAGAAACGAATCATTCAAATGGAAGGGAAATGGCACATATGGATTTTCACTTGCACAAACAGTGGTTGTCGGTTATCAGGATTAAGGGCAGGGGTGCGTGCATGTTTTGTACACATGATCGTACGGAATCACCTGTCCACTCTAACTGGCTACACTAATCATCTCATGCTTCTAACGCATACATGCGCTCCAAAAAGACCAAGAATACACAGTTCTCCTGTCATGTGTTGTCAAATCTCGCATCAATATGGAATATGTAGACCCTTTAGCGAAAACATGTTCAGTTTCTCATGTAACTGCGAACCGAATTCTGATAAAAACCCGTTTATACCCTGTCATGGACGCCTTTTTTAGGTTGCCACCCTCGTACATCGCTGGAAGCTGGAAAAAATTGCGACCTAAGACACCAAATTTCAGTTCTTTCGCTTTTGGCTATCCATGCATGTTTTGAAATCCAAGCTCTCTACGTGACCTAAGAATCTCAGCTCAGCAGCGACCATAGAAGGTATTCAAAATGTTCACCGTAGTTGTGGTCTCAAACAAAGATTGTCTTACGGAATCAACCATCTAGCCTTAGTTATTCTTCTGAACTGAACTGCGACGGATCATTTAATTTGCTCCAGTGTGCTCGACCAATTGACGTACTGGCGAATTCAGTTATCTCCAAAGGAGACAGCTGAGGTTCATTTAACTACCCTCCTCCGGTCAATTCGACCACTGATTAGCTTGTATTTAAGAATTCCAGTTCAACTGTTATTGAGGATGCACCATCCCGTAAAACTCGTACATCTCGTTGCTGAAGCAGTCGACTTTCCGTACTTGTCACGAAAAACCACCAAGCACCCGTCAATATGGTAATTCCGGCATAATGATAACAAGCGAATTACACGTACCTGTTAGATTTGTATCAACCAAGTAAAACCTTGCCAGCCATTGATCAGGACGCCAGTAAAGACCATAGTTTCACCTTAAACGGACGGATTCCGATGCTTAGTGTGGGATTTTGTGCAGCCGGTACGTAAAATCAGATACCACGCCGATAAGGTAATAGACAGTTTCACTGCTTAACGAGGTCCGACAAGTATCACAGAATTCGAAATGACCGTCTAGATGTCTAACTCTAAGATTTTTTTATTGATGAAGGTCGTTTTTTAATTCTGTGGGCAGGGAACAAGTGAGTAAATACACTCATTTTTGGACTTCTATTGAAGCAACACATAAATCCATACAACCCGACTTCGTCTGTATGCTTTTTTAGACTTACTGGTGGTTTAACATCACCCGCTTCTCAAGACCCTGAATCTGCCTATCAGTTTCACAACTTTAGATTGTCTGAAATCTGTCATGCTTGTTTGATTGGGTGTATCGTTTCGTGGACGTTTAGTCACACCTTACATACACAAAATGAGTATGACGCGTTCTCCGGGGTGTCCGCAGAGCCCTTGTTAGTGGGATGACCCGAAGGCTGCAGTAGATGACGTTTTATGACGGTGATAGGTCAGCCAGAAATACGCACCCATCTTGAAATTCGGTCATTTTCGTTCCACCACCAAAGTAAAACCTCCTTTTTTGAGTGCAGAACGCATATGTATGCGTTAGGATCATGAGATGATTAGTGTAGCCAGTTAGAGTGGACAGGTAATTCCGCATGATCATATGTACAAGACATGCACGCAGCCCTGCCGTTAATTCTGATAAACAACAACCAATGTTTGCGCAAGTGAAAATCCATATGTGCCATTCCCCTTCCATTTGAATGATTCGTTTCTGCCAGTTGAACAAAGAATTACTCAGACCCACATACAGAGGACTGCAGTGTGGACACATGGGAACAGTTGGTGATTTGATGAGGGTCGGTTGGCTGTACCATCAACGGGGTGCTCGGTTTCCAAATCGCACTGCACACTGCTCCTCTGAAGGACGAGTGTCATCAAGTCCGGTCGAACACACGGTGATCCTAAAATGACTCTCTCTCTCTCTGGATGGAGTGAAGAGCCACAAACATGATTGTGAACCTTTTTCCGAATATACAAATGAGAAGGCGTTAAACGACTATGCATTTACCGCTCAAATACTGTCAAAAGTGAGAAAGATTAGGAGGAACACGTTCATATTTTATAGGGAGCGCTGCAGAACAGGAAATTTCACCTCGCGCTGAGAGATGATTCGGAACCCCTACATCTTATTTATCAACGACTGAACAAGTTTGTCGGCACCTAGCAACAAAATCACGGATTCATTTGATGTGGATCATCGAGTTCCTGGTGTACTTGACAGTCGTTTTATCCTTACTAGGAGTCAGTATCTCACGAAACTCCAGAGAGTTTCATGGCTAGTAGTTTGGACACTTGCCTTTTTGATTACGGCGAATTATCAGAGTTTCGATTAGCTCAAAGTTGGGCAGGATATAGTCCAACTCATTCAGCACAAGGCTTTACCTGAAACAACAACTCGACTGCAATACGGTGTAACGTAGTTCCAGCTAATAGTTACCGCAATAGCGCGAAATGCAAGTGTACGATAACAACAACAGCAAGGCTTTACCTGAAACAACAACTCGACTTGAATACGGTGTAACGTAGTTCCAGCCAATGGTTACCGCAATAGCGTGAAATGCAAGTGTACGATAACAACAACAACAATTATGTTTGGACTTAGAAGCTCGATCATATTTTACTGTGAATAGTGGTTGTAGAACAGTAGAACATAAATGCGACTGTCCCATAATTTGTCCGGGTAGTGACTTTTGTTAATGTTGAATATGGTACTGTCCTACAGGCTTTGGTAATCTGCAAAACAAAGGTCATGAAATCTCGCCACAGGTTTAATTCGTTCTTTCCAGTACTGTCAGAAAATGCGATGTATGCAACGACTCAGGTGATAAATTGCCGGTCAGGTATTCTATTGGAATCTAATAATGAACTAGAGCTCAAGCATTATCAAGCTACTGTCTTGCGTGGTAAGTTGAAAAATCCTGGTTTACTCACTGATTGCGTGGCAGAATCATTGTGCTTACCTGGAAATATGGTTATTTGTCGGGACGAGTAGTAAATCTTGTGCGTTGTGGATCGATACGGAAGTGATTTGATGACGGCTGATTTAAGAAACGACATGTAACTCCACAACCAGTATTCTAGCTTCCTCAGATTTCGTTCCGTAACTGATGAACATTTTGGTGTTCAATCACGACGCACAGCCCCACAGGTTGCGTGACTTTTGTGATCTATTCGCCCAGCGGTTGACATCTTGTGTGGTTCCACTCATTAGCACATCATAAGTTTCATTCACGAAGCAATAATTTTGCCATTTAACCGACTACGAAGCGGAATTTGAGGGTAAAAAAGAACAGATCCTGTAAAGCTGTGGAAAAGGTACAAGTGCAATGAAAAAAGCGATCATATTTGAAATAGAAATAGAAATATTTTTATTATCAGTGCTATATTAGTACTCTCCAGTTAAGTAAAGGTTGTGGCTTAATCAATAGAAAAACGTTTACTGTGTAAACCCTGAACGCTGATAGCCATATTCGCAAGAACTGCATTGGAACAGGGACGGATGCAATTTACTGTCAACTTAAGCCATTCCTGTGAAAGTTTGAGTAAAACTAATTAGGTCACACCAGTGTACACTGATCACATTTGATGGCTGGGTAAGTTCAAGTATACACGCTGTATGGTACCAGTAACAGCAACGGAGTATTTAGCAGGCCAACCGTTGAATAAGTGTGAGTTACAAGGTATATATTGATTCGCTCATTGTGCGACACATAATCATATTTGGTTGTCCTGTTATGGCACTAGTGAGTACGCGTTTACCACTACTAAAGCCACTCCCTTCAGAATGTTTATGCTTCTGTGTCTTCGCACTCCAAAAGATTGCTCAGTTGTGCGCATCTGGCCGATCATACCTAACTTTGGAGAATTTGGTTGAATGGACAATTTTCGTGCTTGCCATTGTCACGACCATAGACACTAGTAAGTGTATGGCGAAGACCGGACTACGCGAGGTGAGTCCATGGCATTTATGACAATTTTTCTCTCAATTTACTCCCAAGAATTGATCTGTTCTGGCCAGTTACACAGTGGAATTTGTCTGATGCCAGCATTCACAGAGGTATGTTTGAGGCAAACTATACCAGAGGCTTCATTAATAAGGCGTTTCCTAAGGATGGCTGAAGAAGTAGATCTTGGGCGATTTAGTTGAAAAATGTTCCAACTACTCACTGCTTGTTAAGTAGTCTGCCTTTGAAACTTCAACTTCACAACCGGATCTCTAGGGCTAGGCCCCTTAAAGGGCCGTGGTATTTCTCCATAGGAAAGTTTCGGACTGTGCTCTTCGGTTGAGATAAAGTGGCATTTTTTCCAGGCAGAATTTAGCTTGTTAGCACTACGGTGGGACTTCGAAGTTTCGGTGGAGATTTCCTTCCCTGACTGAAGTCAGTCTATCTCGAAAAGCCAAGAAAAGCTGTGTAGTTATTTCGTAATTGTTGTTTATCATCAACATTGTGCTTCTTAAGAATTCTTACTTGAATTTGAACGCTTGACGTACCATCTAACATTTGAAGACAAAACCTTTGGTCAAGAGATGGCTTATTGACTCACAGTCAAACAGAAATTAGGACCACTCATGGAACGAAGTTTTGTTGTTAGGGTGACTTCGGCGTACTGAATGAGGAGTCGATAGTTAAAGATAAGTCAAAGAACAGGCCGCTTTCACAAAGTATCCATACAAACCAATTCATTTTATACGGTGTATAAGCTGAAAACGCAGAAAATTATGGAGCCCCATTTGTTGCTTCAAATATCACAGTCTCAGACTCTAGTCAGTCTTCATCGCGCCAAGTAGTCGCGTGTGGTGTACTATCCTCAGTGGATGTGGGAGTGGCTTGTACGTGTGAAGGGTTCTGGATGCCAGTGAAGTTTGCCTAAAGCAAAAAGACTGTCCAAACTACTTTTAACTTTACAGCCCAATGTTACTGAGCTTATTGTTAACGGTATGTTTGATAATCCATTTGTCAAGTAGATATGTATTCAGCGCCTAGCTGGAACCTCATTTCTAACACTGTCAAATTTTTGAGGTCAAGTGCTCAGCCTTCCCAACTAAAAGTGACTTGTGTTAATGTGTCAGGGAGTAACTGGTGCTGAACCCGTACACGTTTTGCATCCACAAAAGACATTCGTGTGTTAGTTACTAGGTATTTGTAAGTAAGCACGTTATATCGAAATACTCGTTCCAGTAAAAAAACATCTCGTTATGAGTAGTGCTGAGCCCTTCAAACGTCACACAAACCCGGTTCTCTTCCTAATGGACGATTTTATGCCCAAAAGCAACATTGGGATGGAAATTCCCCATGTTCCTGATACACATGTACTTGCAGCCTGCCATATTTTTTGCCATACGAATTGACACTGTTTCATTCCACCCTGTTGTTACGTGCTTTGCCTCGCTCATCATTTGTCCCTTGCCACATTCACATCACAATGTGTTCGTAATTATCAAAATAGCGATATGAGCTGGAATTGTTGGAGCGGAATCACCTTATTACACAGTGACCGAGTTCCTAAAAGTTAAACATATTTCCCAAACCATGCCGCTAAGTTATCTTGTTTGGTGGCTCTCACTCAGGCCTAAACTGGTAACACAAAATATCCCGCTTGTGTCAACCCAGGAGACAAACGGTCTGGAAATTCCAAGCCTTTCATTATTTTGTTCTCAGCGTCCTGCATGCAGGATAACGAAAAGAACGACAGCTCCAAGTGCAAACTGTGTGATACGCCTATTTTATTTGGTCTCCTTAAAGAGAAACCTCTTATTATGGGAGAAACTTTTGAATAGGATATAACCATTTCGTAAATTTTGGGGTTTTGCGGAATAGGTATTTTTGTTCATAGCCACACCACTCTCATTTGAACGGCCATGTTCCTGTTCTGGCGTAATTATTCCGGTGAGTCCACACTAAAGGGAAGCACTGGACTCGAGTTTCGCTCTTATGAGAGCTCATCAGCAGTGCATATCCAATGACCGTGCCGGGATTTGAACCCCGGACATCTGGCACTAATTTTACCAGCTTTTGGAGGTGTAATTAATAATTAAGATAGATTCGCGCCTACTGCCCAAGTTTTATAGGCAGTTTTTAAGCCAAAGTGAATGGTTGTCATTGTGTTTATTGTGTAATATGGCTCCAACAAACCACAGTGAGATGAAAAGCAACCAATTACAGATGACTGACTGGCATTCGATATGGTTTATTAGTCGGTAGTAGACACATCATCGGTCAGCGGTGCACATGTACGCCAACGCAAGTTTTGTAATCCTATCCGGATTTGATATCGCTTGCGTGGTTTTGCATTCGTTGCATATTCTCTAGATGAACTCACAGAAACCTGTTGAGATACATCAACTGACTTAATTGCGACAGAAATGCAGTGGACATAATAAAACAACTGTTTAATGAACCAGTGTAATAGCGCATGACATTCCAAGTACTCGCAGAGTCACATTCTCTACGAGCCATTCCGGTATGCCTTCTCAAAGTAAATTCACAGCAAAAATGAAAACGGAAAAAGAACATTGACACAAGGAGTTGTGTAGCAAAGTTTACTCTTAACTACACTACTTAACCGTTATTTTGGCAAAAAAATACATCTACCACGTCTATCACACTTCTCCCTACTTATATTTTTCAGCATTGGCAATGGCAGACCGGTACTGTGGGTCTTACGCTAGCGTGGGTCGACATGCTATTCTTTATGCAGAGGTTGTTTCCTAGCGGCAACTACCTTGGCACTTTTGTTTTGATTTCTAAAAACTTGTTGAAGCTGTTCATCATATTTAGCCCGTTTTGGATCGCCTTTATGATAGGATTTCATCTGTTACTGGCTAATCACTATGCCTTCATGGATATGGGCAATTCACTCACCAAGATGATCACCATGACCAGCGGTGAAGTAGATTTTTCTGGGGTGAGTGAAGTTCTTTGTGTATTTACTGTCATGTTTTGTGTATGAATGCTCAGATAATTTCCTCCTATGTTGATTTTTAGCGTCATTTGTTTCTTGCTTTGCTCTGTGTGACTAACACACAGTAGTTCATTCTGGATATGCCGTGGAACACCGTGATTCTATCCTGACTTCTGTGGATTTGCAAAAATTTGAACACATCCTTTTGGGTGCCCATTTTTGTGACAAAGGTATATTCTGAACAGAAAAAAATAAAAAAATCCCAACTTGAGGTCATCAGTAACGAACGTCAGACCAAAGATTCTGCAACCGACATAGCAACAGTGATTTTCTGTATGTTCGTAAATGTTGCTCATGTATGCTACATTGATAAGGAAAGTTGGAAATTCTCCGTCCTTTAAACACGGTTAAAATGTTGTGTTCAGCTCGCGTTTACTTATTGTGAAGGTTAGTGTCATCGCCTCGATAGAGGAGACTATTCTATTCTGATCGACAAGCTAATCCGCCTCTTAAGGATCAAGAGAAAGCAAATAAAAAGGCTCTTTGGGCTGTCGCTGTTAACCAGCGGGTACGCGCTGTTCACACAACTTCAACACAGTCTAAGCTGAAAACTTGCGTGACACCCAATGCGTCTGTTGTACATCTTAAACAGGAGAGTATTCGCCCATACGTCACTTGAATGATTAGGGAATGTGGAAAGTAGTTACTAGAATTTAGCTTACGTTTTCCCCTTGGTAGAAATTCTTCAACAAGAGGTCAATACTCACTAGTAGTGTCTTTATTTGTCTCTTCTCACGATCTCTTACGATGCGAGAGTAGAAACGTCTGTGTCCCTGCTTCAATTCGAATTTGTTCTCACAAGCACATCTCCATACACATTTTAATGTCTTGCGGACAGATATTTGCTACTCACTAGTATGAAGGGAATAAGTTTTGGTTTATTGCAATGATTTGATTTCAGTCGATTTCATGGAGGCTTCCGTCTGACGGTTGTGCTACATATTATCACTCACCAAAATCAGTAAGACAAATGTCGGGTAGGTAAATAAATTTTCCTAAGAAGCGATTACTTCCTATTTGCCTCCTTCCCCCGACGTACAAGTGAATTTAGAGTAAACTGTTTTATCTCCGTAAGGAATTCTAGTATTGTAACCAAATATTTGTCCCCGGGAAAAGAAAATAAAGCATTGAATCCTTCGGGAAATATACTAATCCATATAATGAATTTCTTCCACGAGAGACTCAAATGAATATCACTTACGGTGCCGAGAGTTGCTTTGTGAGTGTAGTGAGTAGTGTGTGCAGTGTATTATCCTTGTTTAATAGCCAAGCTGATCTGTTTGCAACAACTTGCACTCTCATGCGTGGAGCAACACTACAAACTGAGTATGCCATTTGATAGAAGTGCGTTGGGAATTTACACGTTCGGGATAGTGGATATATTCGCCTTAATTCAAAATAAAATTCAAAGGGTAAAACTTCCTTTGTTTCAAGGGTTACTTGGAACTATTCGACTTTGTCCCTTTTTCTGACGATTTTCCGAGGCTATGATAAACAGTCATACAAAGCGATATTTGTGACACTCATTTCAGTCACAACAAACTCTTAAATATGCCTAGATTGACTCACATATTGGTTGAGTTTTAAATGTCCCATCGTTTCAGAAACGTTTGAAAAACGGTCGACGGAATTATTTCCTAACTTTGGTCTGCTGTAGACACAAAAGTTTCACTGAGCCATATGACGAGGTTAAAAGATCTAGTCTGTTTTAAACCAGAGAAATATCTAACTACCAAAATCCAAACAATCATTGCTCAATGCTGAATGTTTTCCTAATGGTCACCCAGGCGCTGAGATCAACAGGCAACTGATACTGTTGCATGAATTCGGGTTTGATTTGGTTCTGTTTGGTTTCGTTCTTGCTCTTTGGGTTTATAGGGCATTGGTTTTGGCCGCTCTTAAGAGTCATAATTTAAGTGGCTATGCAACCTGCTGCCACGTGATGTGGATGGAGTGGGTGAACGATCGGTGGAGCAATAGCCTGTTCAAGTGCGACCTGGCCAATTCATACCATGAATGAATCCTAGGGTTGGTAGTGTGGGGGGGAGTTTAGAGATTCTGACGAAGATTTCAGCCCGCAAGTGAAGTCACTCTGTGATTCCCATATTTTCACCCCAGACTGGATTCAATTAAAAGACGAAGTTTCAATAAAATAATATTTAGCCGAGAGCTGAGAGGCACCGGCTCCTCATACTATCAACTATCAACAAACTCTTTGGATGACGGGATCGAGCAAATTGTACAACAATTTTTCGAAGTGCTGGGAATAAACGTCCACTGCTTCTGACGCGCGGTTTCCTGCTTATCCTGTCTGAATATTTGTTTGGTCGTTAAATTCGATCTTGTTTGCATGCTCTCAAGTAGCGTCAACGAAGTAGGTGACTTTTAAAAACACCATTGCCGAGCAAAGAACCCACTTTCTCCTCTAAGAATTTACCCCTAGTTCTGCTGTGTCTGGTATTCTTCAAACAACTGAAGGTTATTTCTTGAGTGGGTTCATCCAGTCAGTCATGAGATTGGGGTAAGGCCTATCCTAATAATTCTCAAAAGTCTTGCAGTTTTTATGTTCTTAACCTCAGCTTGAACTTTGTTCACCATTATCATCGTCATCAACATCATCATCATCATCACCGACAGCATGACATCAGTATCCAACACCGCTGCTTTACTGCCCTATCGATGTGGCATGAGAGTGTTGCCAGTCGTAAGTGTCATGATGTACGTGTGCTCGTACACCGTCAGGGCCAGACCTATAACCAGTGAACAACCTGGTATGGGAGACTCTGAGTGTCGCGGGACACCCCCATTATAGCTCATGGATCGCTGAAGTGCGCAAACCGTCACACCACGGCAAGTTCCTGTCACGAAGGGACTGGAACTTGTTTGGTCAGAGCCCAACTGTTCCTAGGTTTATGATGCGATATCATGGCCCAATAAGACACTGTTATCTGTTGGTTTCCTCGAAAAGGCGGTTCTAAATTACCATCAGCGTCTTGAGTTTAGTCCGCCAAGAAATTCAGCTTGTGAAGGAGAACCTACCTGAATTCTAAAGCTAATTTGTTTTTATAGCCAATAAAGTGTTAGTAAGGACTTTGCGCTTCAGTTTTCTTCGAAGAGTGACTTCCGAAATCGCCCTTGCTAAGCTCCCCAACATAGCAATAAGAAAACCAATGACCAAGGTAACATCGTTATGGTATAATTCGACCACAGGACATAATAGAAACGTTTTGCGGTGCACATATCAATTTTCGTTTATCATTTTGATGACGAAACCAACTTCTTTACAATACTGAAGCTGAGTAGTGTCATCTCAGTGTAAGTGAGCCACAAATCCGACACTGTTTATTAAAACTTGGCCGCAGTTGCTCACGGTATGGTAGGCTTCCCACAATGATGACAAGACTAAGTGTCGGACACGTGCATTTAGTATTACATCAATACCAGGGAAAATAACGGAAAAAATCCATGAAGTATCTTGTGAGTGCGTGCAAGAGTTTTTGGGACACTCAATTTTGTCCGAATGTGGTGGCGCGGATTTGATCTGAAAACAACGGTCACTCAGTTGATCCACTGAATCTGTTCCTTCAGGATACATTTACTTCTTTACTTGGGATAAAGCCCGTTTCGGTAGTCCTGTGACACACTAGGGAATGAATAATGACACTGTGGGTTTCGTGTTTTGTCGTCTCCTAAGTACTGTGTGTGCAACCATATCACCTGCCAATAATAATGCTGAATTTCGTTTCGTTCTAAAAGTTCCTTTGGAAAAAATCGGAAGCCGGTGTAAACGAGATTTTTGCGGTTGTAACTGTGTTTCTGCAAAGCTCCATAACTTTGGTGTTTCCCCTCACCTAATATGCGTTTAACGTTTCTTATTTTTGAGCATTCAATTTCTCGATCCATTAGTACTTACAAAACGCCCATTTGTTATGCCTTTTAATTGAACACTAGGTTGATATTCGGATGTTGGGATGCCATACACGTGTCTTCGACGGTGGCAGACCCATCGTCTGGTGTCCTGCGTGGGAGGGCACTATTTACGACAGTATTGGGCAACCGATATAGAAGACCGCAGTTGACGGTCCTTAGTGGTCCACTTATGTTATGGTACAAGTTTCCGTCAAACGTCTCCTTATTATTTGCAGTGCGCACTTCAAAAAGAGTGCTCAGGTTGCCAGTGGCAAACAGGCCACTGGAGGAATAGCATTATTTATCTTACAGAGTCGTCCAACAAACCAGTTATGAAGCATGTCCAAGCTTCCAAACAAACCATTTAAAGCTATCCCGTACACTACCGCGTCTGAGAACCATCCATCTACAGCCTCTCTTAAAATCTCTTTTTGAAAGAGTTTTACATTTTATTAATCTTTTTTCGGTGTACCATATTCTTTCCCGGGGTAATGAGTACATATATATATATATATAACGGAAACGTCTCGGATGATGACTTGGGCTTTGAAAATATTCTGCACTTAGTATTCATTATCTTCGAGCAGGTAATTTGTTTTTTCGGCAGCTGTACACTTTGTGTCCTGTTTGACCATTTATTGGCAAGTGTGTTTAACAGAAACCACTTTCTTTTGTTGAGGCAAGCTACTCACAATCAAATACAGTTAGTTTCAATGCTTAAAATTAACTGTTTCCAACAATCCTGAAGAAACAATCGTTTCTCTGTCAACAGACTATGATGTCCCATTACGATAAAGATTCTGGACCAGAGGCAGCCGTTTACTACGCTTCTGTTACTTACGCGCTCATGCTACTCTTCATCTGTATCATGACTATTGCTATGCAGAATATGCTGACGGCCATTGCCGTAGGGGATGTGAATGAAATGCAGGGAAGAGCGCATTTCGACCGATTGCGTAAGACGGTAAGTAAGAAGCTTTATGTTATAAATATCATAAACGAGAAATTTAGTTGAGTCTGTCGTGAATACGAAATTAATTTGCAAATGAGTGTATTTCTCGAAAACAGTCCAATTTGGGTTCAAATAGAACATAGGGTTGACGGAAACTAGGGGACTGCGCCTAACTGATGAGCCCCAAGAAGGGCGAAACCGATCGTGGGCTGCCGAAGAGTTTTCAGCAACCTTGTGAGTAGTTTCCTTTATAAAAAAATACCTTTCGTAGGGGTAAACAATCAGTGGATTTATTACTTGGTAACGTTTCGCTTTTAACACAAAAGCTTCGTCAGGTCAAGTGGGTGGATAAGTAAGTTGATTGGGTTTTAAGGCAGTCTGGGAACCAATCCGTGAGATTTCTTATGACTAGCCGACTTGATCACTGCTGAGTATCAGTCTGATGTTCCTGTTTGTTGGTTAGCGGAGATGACTAACATTTACGACATTGGTTAGGGGGATTTTGCGACCCTGCTTTGCTTAATGGGTCGTTCACAGGTTTCGTTCACCTGTATCCGTTGAGGGTTGCCGGGACGATTGATTTGGGGACGTGGCGTGGTGGTGGTTGGTTGAATCTTACTCTACTTCGACTTTGTACTTTTGGACCCAGACCATTTTTCTGATAAGTGCACACCGCCTCGTGTGATCTCGGCTGATCCATAACACCCTTTCCACCACCTCGGCCACCATTCGCTGTGGTGTGAATCTTAAACCCCGTCTCACAATGTCTACATTCTCCAAATTCACCCTATGCCCAGTGTGTAATGTATGACCTACCATTGCCGAACCTTTGACTGTCGCCTGATATTCATCTACGTTTCCGGGTTGTCTGATGACGGATCGCTTATGCTCACAGATTCTGGTGTACAAGTACCCAGCTGTCTGACGTAAATAAACCTTCTTAAGGTCGTTTTTATTTTGTACACACAGTTCCTAGTCCTATCAGCCGGAAGTCGATCCTTCAAATGCACCAACACGAAGCGTAAAGTCTTCCCCCTCTGGAATGCTACTGTAATGTTAGCCGTATTCAGTACCCTTCTAATGACTTCAGATGTCCCTGTTTCGTATGGAATGATTGCTGTTCCGATCCACTCCTTGTTGGACCTCGAAGTTGGCACCAATTCTCGTCTTATTTGCCGCTTAACTAAACCCGTCGGGTATCGCTTCTTTTATCCCAAGTTGTGCTGCTCTTCAGTCGACCTCCTCTGTGCACAGTGCTCTTACTTTCCTAAATATCGTCGAAACTATACTAGCATATGTTGCTCTTGGGTGTGCTGAGGAGCAGTTTAAAACCGCACCGCTATCTGTTGATTTCCGATAAACAATGGTTCAAGCATCCCAGTGTGAATAGAATAGAGGGGGCAGAACTTGCAAACATGTGGAGAGCGGTTTTAGATCAGCCAAGATGACACAAGGCGGTGTGCACTTACTGGAAAAAATGGTCTGGGTCCAAAAGTAAAAAATTCAAGTAGAGTAAGATCCAATTAACTACCCCCGCGCCTCATCTCTAAACGAATCTTCCCGGCATCACCTGACGAACTCAGATGAACAAAATCTGCGAGCGACCCATTAAGGTATCCTAGACAGAAAATTAAGGTCGCAAACTCCGTGTTCAGCATCAAAACAACTCCACCTAACCAATCTTTCGTAAATGTTGGTCATCTTAATTAACCAAAAAACAGGAACATCAGACTGATACTCAGCATTGATCAATTCAGCTAGTCATAAGAAATCTCACGGATTGGTTCCCTGACTGGCATAAAACCCCATCAACCTACTTACTCACCTGACCCGACGAAGCTTTTGTGGCAAAAGCGAAACGTTGCTAGGTAATAAGTCCCCCGATTGTTTACCAAACCTCTCTGAAACGACGACTACCCAATCGTCCCAAACATTTTCCAGTTGATTTAAAACCCACCTTTTTCTATCGGTCCTATCGTCGATGGAATGCATGCCTGAGTGAGAAGAATTGGTGAACTTTACGTTTTGGACTTTTTTGCAGTTTACGCGAGAGGGCAAACGGACTACATACATCAGGGTAGAGACCATAAAGCTCCAAACATGGTTCGGAACATAGAACCCCAACTCGTAATTTAGGGCTGAAATGTCTCATATAGTTGAGTAAGATGCAACTTAGGAATGATGTAGTTAAATGTGTGAAACATCTAGTGGCTGGAGAAATGAGGTTACATTCCGCAATAAACATGATTAATGAAAAGCAGCTTCAGCTAAAGTGCCAGTTGCATGAAGACCGATACTACTTATCTCTTAAGCGTTACAATTCAGTACTTTACGAGCAGGACAAATTTACGACTATTTTTGATCCAGCTAAAATCATTTGAATAGATTTCATTGCTGAGCCCAACTTTTACCTCGTAGAAAATGAAAGACAAGTTATAGGCGTTCAGAAGAAGCACATGACATTAGTCGACGTCACTTCGAAGTCATCACTTGAACTTTGTACACCTTTCAGAATTCTGTTTTACCCTACATGTCGCCCCTAGGCCCCAATACGTTTTACGTGTCCCACATCAATGGAGGCTTTTGTATAATAACATTTTGGTTTTTAACAACAGACTGCTTCTACCTCTCTTGACTGATTTTGATTAAATGTTTGATATTTAAGACGGAAACCTTGCTCAATTTGCGGGGAGTGATGGTGTTCCTTAGAATTTGGCGCCCCCTGCCGACCGTCTACACGTACTCTTTGGACCAGCCAAGAGGCTTTCTGTTTGGATGGATCTATAAAGCCATGGGAGGAACGCAAGAGTATGAGATCGATGAGGTAAGGAATGATTTTTAAAAAAAATTCTCGCAGTTGAACAAAACCAAGCTGTATCATTCTTATTTGGATTGTGGTAACAAATGTAGGTAGATATTCAGCTCGGATTACTTCTTGGTATATGTGGCAGTATAGATAGAAAGAATCTGTGCTAGATAGAAGCGGTTGCTTTTAAGTTAAAGCTGCAGAAAGAGCTATAGGTGTACGGTAGCTCTGAAATGGCGTACTTCAATTTACCATAACGATGGTAGAACCATGTTATTATATTTTATTAATACCTTAGTGTGTGTTCTACATACCATTTCCTCCGCCTAGTGACCTAATGGATCCCTCATTAGTGCAATGCACATCTCTAGGCTTCAAATGCACAAACGTTTAGAACGTTCTTTCAATCACCCTCGTATGACAGAACCTGCTTGTTGATTTTGGCTAAAAACTACTGCACGAAGGAGTTTTCATGAAATCGAAAAGTTTTGAACCATTGAGAATACGGGAAACATTTGTTACCGACGCCTAGATAATTATCCTCAGAAAATAAAATAGTTGGCGCTTTTGAGAGCTGCGGGTGAACATGTTGATGTCTGTGTTATTGGAACAAACCTTCATTATGTTATCACAATACTACGGATACGGATTTTGTTGCCAGGTTATACTCGAATGTAAATCTTACCAACTAAGTGACGTGTAACGAAAAGAAATTTATTGTTACTGATCACATCCTAACAGTAGACTGAGGCTTCAGTAGGCGGGTGTTGTCTTGTGAAAAGTAAGGGGCCTGCGTGCGAAGTATTTCTTGCTTACTTTTGAATCCACTTTCAAAGAGACATTCAAGATACAGTTATTATAGCGACCGAATATTGTGGTGTCAAACAATCGGCTCGATACCATAATCCATGAGTACATCTTTTATTAGTGACACCTAAAAAAGCAATTTCAGCATTGTGATTTGCCCCGTTGAGTGTTGCAAAGTCATGAACAGACCACCGTCTCTCTGCTAACCTGCTGTATTAAATTGTCTTTCTTGTAGGAAAAAGAAGATGAAGCAGAAGACGTCACTCATTCATTAAGTCTCCTGAATGAATTGCGAAAAACTATTGTCAGTTTGGAGGAATCTGTTTTGGCTCTGCACAAGACGTTACTTCAGGGTAAATAACTTCGCCTATGCTGGCCCCTCCCCGAAATAAACAAGTTGTTTCATCTGTTCTGTGCGAATGGTTACCACGTTTTATCCTAAACAATGTGCGATTTTTTGTTAGTTTTATCCCTTATATAACACTGTTCATTCGTTTTGTTATTGATCGTATGAATTTAACAGGATGTGACCACAGAAATCTGTTTTACAAACAGTCAAGTGCTTATAAGGAAGAAGGGTGTGCATTCGAAGTGAAAACGTACAAGAAGAAGCATTCATTACTGGACGTCGATTTTGCCACCATGTTTAAACGCTTCTCTACGCTTCTCAAAATGGTCCTCGGCACTCTGCAGCCTTATTCATAAGGATTCAAAAAACGCATTTTGGGTATCTTTAAATATTTTACTGTTAAGGCGTGAAGTAAATGGAATTTTCTGACGTGGAAATTCGCAGCATGCTTTGAAGAGAAACATCCATGACGCAACATAGTCAATCTAGTACATTTCGTCCCGTTGTTTCGTGGTCGCGGGACGAACACTTACATCATTTTCGCTTGAAGGGTACAAACACAGTCACCAGAATGGGCCATGTGAGTGATGCGGATAGGATATAGCTGCGCGAACAAGATTTCCAGTACTGGGCAAAGTGGAGTACTTATTCCCTGGAGGGAACGTTTATACTGGACAACTTACTCTTCATGCTGGAGAAAATATCACTTTTCTGCAGTGCATGTTAACTTGACCATGTATTGAATTTCTAAGAAGTTTTACAGCACCATACTCACAAGATTTCAGTTGGTTGTAGACTCTTGGATTTCGGAACTTCGTAAATTAATCTACCAATTTCACAGAGCTACTCTTGAGTGTCATTGTGGATTTGTGACAACCGGCAACAAGGATCCTAGTGCTCACTCCTTAATTGCGGAACCTTTATATTTCAATGGAGAGTAAGTGATTGCTTTGTGATGCTGAAATACCTAACGGGCGGCTCTACGGAATTTGAAAGAACCTCGCACCACTCGTGAGGCATGTATTTCATCTTTATTAGGACCAATCGTTGTGGTCAAATAAGAAACGCTGATGACAAACAAACTGGAACGGTCGTCATTTAAATACCACTGAAAATTGACGTTTGCGTATGAGCGAGTTCCAATGATGTGTCTTAGTGGATGAGCCACACAAACTAGGTTCACGACAGTGTTCCACCGTCACTTCGATGAATGAATTTCGTTTGTATCAGCTCCCTGCTCGACCTTCTAATGAACGACAGCCATACTTTACCTCAGAACTGGTGGACGCGACTTTTGTTCGTGCTTTTCTTATTGTTGTCGGAACAATAACAGGTGGTGAGAGTTTAAAACAAATGGCATGAGGTTGAGTGGCGAAGGCACCAAACTAAAATCAGTGCCAGAGTTGACTGGGTGAATGACGTTGAACCATGCGTTTGGAGGCGCTAAATATTGGGAGAATGATTTTGGCTTTGGCTAACGTCACGTGCATCCCAAAACCCCACCTTTCTTATTACATTTTAAAGCACCATTTGTTGTTTTCAGAGGACATATGTGTTTCTTATTTTGGAGAAATTATCCAACAGGGAAATGAGGGATAACAATATATAAAAGAGAGGATTACCCGGCGGGCTTGAGTTAAAAACTAACTGAAGAGGTGATTAGAAACGCTTTACTTGTTCGCAGCTTAGCCGCTTACAACCAGTTTAGCGATCTATTGAGCATATGCATTTGATACCCAAATTGCCCGTTTATTGGCAAAAATCTTGAAACGACTTGAATTTTGTTGAACTCTGGTCTGGAGACGTCACTTGTTGTATTGCTTAGGTCTGAAACGTGTGCTCCGGCAGACAGACTGCAAGAATGCAGTGTCGTAAGCAGTATACCGTAAACATTCGCGAGTACTAAACACTCGCTTAAAACCTAACCATTCAAACCTTGAATGTGGGGTGCATTGCAGCGAGGCCAACAGTACATATTAATCGTGAGAGTTTGGCAAGCTTTGTGTTTCAGTGTTCATCTTTCAGTCTCATGATGTTGTACTTATAGGTCTTTCAAAAATAGATATGTGATTTCGAGAAATATACTTATTTGCAAATCAATTTGGTTTACACGAGAGACTCAACTGAATCTCTCGTCTATGATATTCTCTCGTGAAAACCAAACCGATTTGCAAATGAGTGTATTTCTCGAAAACAGTCCAATTTGGGTTCAAATAGAACATAAGGTTGACGGAAACTAGGGACTGCGCCTAACTGATGAGCCCCAAGAAGGGCGAAACCGGTCGTGGGCTGCCGAAGAGTTTTCAGCAACCTTGTGAGTAGTTCCCTTTATGAAGAAAGATCTGTGATTTATTTAGTTAAATTCTTTAGTATTGACTTGCCGCTGTCGCCCATACTCTAGTGGCCAATGGGGCAAGCAGCACAGTGAAACACATGTAGTTAGTATGATATATCATCTCATCACATTAGTTATGAACCGGTGAAGTTTGACATACAGCATATGAAATTTCACAAGTGCTGCGTTGACAATTTGAAAAGATGTTTCCTCTCGGAGGCACATAAAACATCTGGGTAGTAAATTAGTCGGCACCAAAACCCTATTTTTGTGGGTCCCTAGAGGTACTTACGACTCTCAATAAGTCAGGACAATATACTCTGATTTCGTGGGTGTGAAATTACTATCGCCTGTCGACCCTATATATATATATATATATATATATATTAGATAACAGAATACTTCAGAAAGCGATCATATGCGTGAGACCAAGAAGTCTTGGTAAGAGTCAAGAATGTAATCAGAAACGTTAACGATCAGCCCATTGCTGGACTGCGTTTGCGATAAATTATTCGCGATCTTGAACCGATAGCAATGATAATGGGGTGATTGGTACGGAGTCCAAAATTGCTATTACGATAAATTACAGCGATAGTTTCATTCAAATCAATGTTCCGTTTTCTACTACTAAAAATCGCTGAAGATACGCATCACTTTTACTGTGCCGCCTCTGACAACGAAGAATCGTTGAAATTTGGCCCGTTTATATCTTTTCATTCAAGCAGTGTTTCCTCACTTGAGTGAACTTAAGCAAGGTCGAGATTTCCTAAGTTTCCACTTGTGGATAACAACAACCAGGAATAAATACCCAATTTTGCCGGTAAATATGCAACAGTTTTTTCGGGTATTTGTCTGATTCGGCTATCCAATCCCGTTCTTGGGCCTTCGTATAAAACCTGTCGTCTGATGTTAGTCAGCAATATATCCGTGATAACGTTCTTATTCGTTCCTTTAAGGAGGCCGGGGAGTGCGCCAGAGGTTAATGTCTGTCATGGGAAAGAACGGGTCTAAGCTTCCAAAGTGGAATCATCACATAAGCAGAAACACGACTTTGCTGGAATGGCAGACTCAAGCAGATTTCTTTCATATATTCCGTTAAATCAGTTCTACATCTTAACATAAACGACAATGCATTTTAAGTAGTGTGGATTCTCCCGGATCCAACATTCATTGTCATACATCTAGCTTGTATTTCACCCGTATGATGACTGGCAGTACTTTATTGCAGAACGGAATGAAAAAAAGCCTAATTCTGATTTTACGGGCACGAATGATTCAATGATGTGACCTCACAAAAAATCACAGGCCTACCCGGTTCCCTGATACGACAGTGTTGCATCTGATTTTAAGTCAAGCGGTTAAGTTTGAATATACAGGATGCATATCTAACCACAGTCAAGTCTTGCTTAATGAAATTGCTCTTACCAGGATCACTGTCGAGTTTTAAGGATCATCACCAGTCTTCAAAAACTTACTGAGACACCACGCGAGGCCATTTTTAAAAACCTTCTGGGAGGTGAAAGCTAGGTTGTTGAGATAGTTGAGCAACAAAATCTCTAGGCTCGAAACTTTCGTTGTCGCTGACGGGCGGCCAAACGGTATCAGGCTTACAGATACATCGTGTGCCATCCAAATAGATTCTGGCGGTAGTTGCTTCAATAGGCGTACCTCAAGCGTTTTCCGAAAAATAGTTCTGTGGTCACCAGAACCCTAGTATTACCACTATTTTGCCATACTATAAAAGATCAAGCAAAGGTGACAAAGATGTAAAGACTACGCTGGTTCTAGTAACTCCAAATTCTGAAGAAAACGTCCCTCTACCTTATCTCACAATGGTGCTCAAGGAGTTAAGTTGGACGTACCTAGTAGTTGAATTTTCACTGTCGAAATGTACTGAATGTAGGAGACTTTTACCTACCTCCTACACTTGTGCGACCGACGTGATGTCACTGTCTTCTAATCGTCTGCTACACACTGTGGCAGTGCGATTGACACTGCCCCACGGATCTGGATGCTTGCTTCCATGAGCAAAGAGTGTAAAAGCCCCGTCAATGATTAACGATCGATTCTTCTATAGCATGTACCGGTTTGGTGTAAACACCGTTTTAGACAAACTGGTGGCATTGGAGCACACCGTATTGCTTTGGTTGGCACCGCAGCTGGGCACCGAAGTGGTGTTACAAGTTAACGGTTCAATTTGCTTAGGATGCTTTTGGAAAGAGTGAACTCTCCGAGGATACATGAGGTACTCATGCCTCGCAGGCCAACTTGAGTGGTTAACTTTGCACGTCAGATGATCGCCTGTCTTGCAGAGTTCCTTTTGTTTAGCTTTGAGCTCAGATAGACTCTCTATGGCTTGGCACCAAAGGATGAAAGTACAAACCAGTTACCACAGCTAATTTGAAAAGTTCTCCTCCTAGGATAGGGACCCCGGGTACGCTTTCAGTGTGAATACCGTCGTGAAATCAACACGTCAAGCATGCTTCCTAGTTACAATCTTCGGAGGTTGACTGGACACTAGAAGAGGCATACTCGTGGAGATAGTACTGGGCTTCGTCCTACCAGATGCGTGGGTCACATTTTCACCTCGACAGATTTTTTACAGTGACATTACTTTCAGTAGTCAACAGTGATGGTTTTTCTGGATCTGAAATGTCTTTGGCTATGCCAATCGTCA